AGTCAGCTTGCATCGTTGATGCCAGACCGCACCCTCTCACTCTGAGTGTTCTCACGAGACTTTAACTGCGCTTAAGTCTCAATCCAAAACTACGATTGGCGCCTGCCTTACCAACCAATGTGGTCTTCCTAGAACCCAGGGAAGACACACAAAGCCTCAACCCAGAAGGAAGAAGTCCTGCATGCCTTATTAGAAATGCTTTTTTACTTTGAAACTATTTACAACTTACAGAAAAATCACAAGAATAGAACCGTGACCTCCCACTTAACCTTTACCTAGATCCTCCGATTATTAACAGCATGACATGTTGACTTTCTAACTCTCTGTATACTTACTACTATTTTATTTTACTTTTTATTTAAAATTTTTTCTGATTATTTGAGAAAAAGCTGTAGATGTCAGGATCTTTTACCTGTAAGGACTTTGTCAAAATAAACATTTTCTTACATAACCAAAATACAATGACCAAAATCAGAAAATTGAATATTAATGCAATGCACTATCAAATTATGTGTAACTGTTAAAATGACAGTTTCCCTTTTTTATTTAAGTTAAATTATTAGGATTAAAAAAACAGAAATATGTAGACTAAAATGTAAAAATGTCCACTTAACTTTCTCCATCATCTCATCCACTCCCCAGGGTAACCAGTGTTAACATTTTTACATAAGTGGTGTTACAGTTCTCTACAAACTACAGACATAAGACATATTTTTTTTAAGTTTTAAGTCCCTTACATTGTTTTGCAGAACTTTTCATGCTAATACATATGGGTCTATCATTCTTTTTCTTTCCTGTATTTATATAGTATTCCATAGTTTGTATGTGCTGAAATGTATTCAATCTATCCACGCTGATGGTAATGTAGCCTGTTTTCATTTGTATTTTGCTGTTGCTGGCCACTCTGAAATGACCACCTTGGCATACACACATGTCTTTGTGCATACATGTGAGCACCTGTAAGGGCTAGATTCCTAGAACAGGAAATTCTGGATTGAAGGGAACAAACTTTTAAACAATTTGATTCAGAAATGTGCCCTTCCTGGGAACTCACTTACTTTTCTCTTTCAGCCACTTCTTCAAGCAACCGGCCATTGTGCCTCCTCGGTTCGTCTTCTAGGAATCTTGTAGGTCGAGCGTTAGACCCCTCTCTTCAAATATACATGAAATTCAACCTTAAAGCTCTGTGTACCACCACAGCTTTTGGTTTCATCTCACCTCCTCCATAATCTCATTTTTAACTTTGCTTGAATATGTAGCAACTTAATACAATTTTTATTGTACTTTATCTTTACGTGTATATAAATTTGCATACTGAGTCCTTCCAGAACAAGATGGCCAGTGAGCACATAAAGTGGTTGAATTTAGGTTTAATGACAGTCCTGGGGGTAGGGAGAGGGGCAGATAATAAACGCGTCTGCTGAGTGGGGTCCGCTTCACCCCGGGCACTTCGTAGAACTAGCTCACTTCCTCTTCCTGACACTTTTTAAAGATGGGGGTCATTGTTCCTAGGGTGCAGATGAAACCAGATCTGGGAGACTTCAAAGCCCATGTCCTCATCCCTGTGTCCCCTTCTGCCACCAAGGTGCTGAAAGGTGAGCTCTCAGGGTGACTGGTGAGTGTGGCCCCCTTCCACGAGCTTATCCCTTGTCGCTTCCAAGGCCTCTTCTAAAAGGCAGTTGGGATGCAGGCCAGATGTGCACCTTGGGCTTGCTCTGGTCCTCCCTGGGGGAGGGGGCCTGAGGCTCAGAACACATCTGTGTCTGTTGCATTAAGCGAACTGTCGCCCACTCCCTCCCCCTAGAGGCTTTGAGATAGAAAATAGAGGTCAGATGATGACCTCTGAGTGTATGTATCAAGCCCCACTGATGTCGATTAAAGCAAAAGGGTTTTGGCGATGGCAGGAAGAACTGGGATGAGCCCTGGGGTAGGACTTCTGCCCAGTGAGAGAAACTAAGTGCAAAAACGAGGGAAACATGGAGGTAAGCATGGAATCCCCTTCTAAGAGCCTTTAAGAATAGGCCAAACCCTCAGCCATCTGGAGCTGAGCATGGAGAATCAATGAGGCCCCTTGTCACAGCCCTGCTAAGCCTCCTTAGAAAACTGCCAATCCCGGTGTCGGCTGGTCATTACCTCCATAACTCAGGGCTCTCTTTTTGTGGCAAATTTCAGTGGAGACCACTAGGTGGTGATAGTTCAACACAAATGAATTCACAAGGCAGGGTGTGTATTTTGTCCTTCTCCTGCTCGCAGAATCCTGCACAATTCCAGGCATACAGTAAGTGCTCCACAAAAGACGCAAAATCTCTACTTGTGCAGGACTGTTCAGAGGACCTGGAAAATGCAGATCTGGTTCTAAGCTCAGCCCCGTGCACTGGCTCAATTAACACTCTCTGAAGAGGAGGAGAGGAAGGATCGTTATTTTGATTGATTTCTTACTTGTATTTGTTTACTCATGTCTGGATTGATTAAAGGAACCAGTTCTTGGTTCTCCTATATTGCTTCACACTGTCTCAGACCCTCATATAATACACGATTAAGATAGAGAGAGGGAAGGTTAGAATCAGGAACAAAAGTGGAGCTAGGGAGCGAACCTAGGACCAGACACTGTAGGTGGGCAAACAAGCTCTGGGGAAAGTAGTCTTCCACTGCTCAGCTCGGAAACCAGTGAGTGAAGAGATGCCATTTCACAGCCTCCAATGTAAATGAGCCCGCAGGCGGATACGGGGAATGATTTAGGGACAAAGGCTCAACCCTTGAAAGCTGTGGTATGACTCATGGAACCCCAATGTCAATGTCCAAGTTACATCAGCAGCAAAAAGGGTCCCCATGGCCAGGGATCACCCAGCAGAGCATTGAGCCTAAAAGGCAAGCTTCCTTCTCTTTGTACAAACTCTGGGGCACCCACTCTCCGGACTCGGGGCTCAGCTCTGGGCCCCTCACCACTGGGGAACTGTGCTGAGGCTGCAGAAGCCACGTGAAAGACCCTGGGTCAGGCGCTCTGCCGCTCCATTAGCCCGCACGCTAATCTGTTCTTGCGCCGTCTTCCTTCCCAGTACCTGCTCCTTCTCTCCGCCCCTCTGCTTCCCAGCATTCCTTCTGCGATGCCTCCTGATAATCACCTCTTAAACTCTTCTACCCGCCTCTGATCTTACCGCTTCCAGCCCAGGGAGGCAGCTAGAGAGGTCAAGCCTCACCTCAGGACAAACTGCCTCCGTCAGTCCCCACTGTGGTGTGGCAGTGGAAGCCCTCTGGCCTCAGCTCGCCTCTTGGGCTTATTCACACCCCCTCCCCACGTGCTCTCCATCCCAGCCTCGTCTTCTCAGTGGCCAGGAGCCACCATATCTTGTCACCCACTTAGTTCCTGGGCTCAGACTCTTCACACTGTCTGGGGTGTCTTTTTCCCACTTGGTGGCCTCTCCCTCATCTAGGTTCATATAGCATCTCTCTCTTTTCCCGTTCCCTTCCTCCCACCGCCCAGCAGAGGGCTCGACAGGTGTTTGGTGTATAATAAGTATTTGAAAAATCATAAACTTCATTGAGCCCATCGGACGGATACAGAGACTGCTCTGTGGGGACAGTTTCTTTAGTCTAGAAGGACAACAGCTGAGAAGGGACACGGTGGAAAGTCAGGAAGCCCTAGGGAAAACAGCGGGGCACGGGAACTCCCGGGGTGCGTCTGTCCCTTGGTCCCTGGACTGCCGCTGTCTCTGCTCTCAGACCCGCCCCACCGCTCTCTCGCAAGCTGTGCTCGCCAGGCCTCTTGCCGCTGGTCTCTGTCTAGGGTCCGCAGGAGGTCAGAGCTTGGGGGGAAGGGAGAAGTCAGGGCATTTCTCCTCTCTCTGCTCTGGGTGGAGCAGGGCATTTTTTGGCCCTGGCTTCTGGGTTTTGAAAAACACCATCACCCCCTGAGCCCCACAGTCCTGGAGGGAGGTTCGCATCTGGCTGTTGCTAAATTTTGAGTTATTTTGCGGTCCTTGTTTGGCTTTTTAGCCTCCTCACCCCCCACTGCGGCCCGCCTTCTGTATGTGCCATCCTGGAGTGGTTTTGGTTTTCCTGGCCGTTGTAGTCTTCTCGCTGAGATCAGCTGAAGGCTCAGCCCTGGGGTTCCTGGATCAATCTTGGTCCTTGCTTCTACATAGGGGGTCCCTTACCTTGACTGTAGTATTTCTGCAAGGCAGCCACCAGTGGCCCATGTAAGAGCCTGACATCACATGCCTTATGATGCCTCGTATATTAAATATGTACCTTATGTAGCATGTACCTTAGGACTTCCTGTGGGAGACTTTGGAGACCTGGGTCCCTGAGAGGACCACCATCACACGCCCTTTGGTTCTCATGCAGGAGGATCTGGGAACCTGGCAGAACGAGGTAGGTAGGGGTGGTGGGTGGTGCAAGACCACAGCCCGCATGTAGCCACCATTTCCAGGATGCTAAGTACCCACTGTGCCATGACATTTGGAAGAAGAATGTACAAAACACATTCAGAGGGTAGTAAACTTCAGGAATTCTTTATGCCAGGAGCTGGTGCCAATAGGAAATATAAAACCCATCCTGGGAGGCCTGGCAGGACTCCACAGCCGATCTGTGCAGGATCGCTAAGGGGAAGGGCCCTGTCACGCAGCCATCCGGCTGGAGCAGCGGAACGGACTTAGGGAACCCTGTTGGGAGCCAGAACCTGGGCTGGGTGGAGCCAGAGCTGACCCCCTGGGGGTTCCCATGCTCCTTTGCAGAACGGCAGGGAGTGAAGTGACTCTTTCCAACCTCTGGTGGAGCTAGAGGTGTAGGGATTGAGGCTCGGGGAGTGGGGCTGGAGAGGAGGCGGAGTGGCCACTCGAAGGAGGTGGACATTTCCCCTGGAGCAGAGAAATAAAAATATTTAAAGCTTCAGTTTGACAAGTCAATATAACTCTCATTGAGCAAGGAGAGAAGAAGAAAGACAGGGCTAAAAGAGAGTGAGGAAAAGAGACCTGGGGACCAGAGGAGAAGGGTGTTTCTACCGAGGCCGCTGGGGTGGGACGTCAGGGAAGGCTGGGACTCGACGTGCAGGGCGCTCATGGCCATGTTGTCTGGCAGCGCTGCCTGCGTTGCCTCAGCGCCGCCCTGTGCCAGGGATCGTGGGCATTCCCACCCTAGCTATGGAGACAGGTAACCAAGCAGCTGTTCAGGGTTGTGTGTGATGTGTGTTCTCACATGGGGTCATGCTCGTGGCTGAGGAAGCTCGAAGAAGCACCTTCCCAGGTCAGTTTGGGAGGCCAGGGGAGGCTTCTAGGAGGAAAGCACTTTTGGGTGAGGTCTGGAAGGATTTGGTTGTCCAGGAAAAGAGGGGGCAGTGGCAGGGGGAAAGGTGTGGAAGGTGCGCGAGAGTGGTACTCAGAGGCCTGGAGGGAGAGAGAGCTGGGGCTGCTTTGGGAGCTGGAGTGTGGGGTAGCGAGGTGGGTGGGGGGAGGACAGGGAGACGGGAGATGTAAGGGGTGGTGGACGGTGTCCTGGAAGGCCTGCTGCTACTTGAGGAGTTCGGAGGACTGTGAGCAATGGGGAAGGGTGATAAAACCAGATCACGGTCTAGGCAGGCCACCTGGCTGCAAAGGGGGAACGTGATGGGAGAGCAGGAAGACTGAGGGAGAGACCACACAGACAGCTGTTGCAATGGTTCATCTGACACTGGCTTCCGGTTGCCCCAGGCTACGCTGTGAGTGCAAACAATCCAGCCGCAACAACCAAGGGACAGATGGGGCCCGTGCCCTCACTGACCAGGGTCCCCGCGGCTCCAGTGGGGCTCCCTCTGGCTTAGAGAGGGGGGCACCCGAGGAGCTGCTTTGGGAGCAGCTGCGGGAGAGAGGTCAGGGCCCGCCAGACTCCGAGAGGTGCGTCCCACGCGTGCACGTGAAGTGTCTGAGCTCCCCAGCCCCACATGGGGCCACGCACTGTGACTCAGAGGGAGGGGCGCTTTTGGAGGCAGAGGTTTAATGGCAGCTGGAGAGTTGTGAGAGAGCGCGTTTTTCGGGAATGTATGTGAAGGAGGCATCTCTATACAGCTAAATTCCTTTATTAACTTAATGAGTTTGGCTGCTTTCCTGGAAATGCAAGTGCCATTTGGCACTGTCGCTGCTGCTTCAGAAAGGGTGTCATTAAACTAAGAATCTGCAGGTTCAGAAAGGGTGTCATTAAACTAAGAATCTGCAGGAACGCTCAATGGCGCTAACGAAGCTGTGCGGGGGACGGCAGAGCATCACGCGGACTTAGGAAGGGTCTTCAGAATGGACAACACTCACCTGGGGCCGGTGTGCAGTTAGCGGGTGAGGGTGGGGGTTGGCGGAGGAGACGCCAGCAACGATCTGGATGATCCAATCCATCCAGGTAATAATGAGTAATATTTAAAGGACTAATATTAAAGTCACAGCAAAGTTGAAGTAGAGACTTCAAAGGGGTCAAAATGCCACCCAAATTTTCTCCATCCCCATTCATGGATGCAGCCTCCAGACAGGGTTTCCAAAGGCAGGATCCAAGTGTCCGGCTTTGTTCTTTCCACGCCCCAGCCTGGGGTCACACTCCCAGCCCCACGGAGAGGGACCCTTGAGACAAATATTGTACTTTCTCCAAACACTGGACCGTGCTCAGAACACCGAGGGCTGAGGCTAGAGCACTAGACAAAATGCGAACAGAGACCTCTCTCTCTGTCCCTTTTGCCCTTTGGAATGGGAGGGGAATTAAAATGAGGGGAAGACTTGGGGAGTCCTTGGGCCTTTGAATTCATAATATTGTTGTGACACGCTCTCTAAGTTGAGTTTGGACCTGGTTGGACGTGGATGCCATGGGACAATGAAACTTTCCCAAATGATGTTATAGCCCAAGATGTCACCTGAATCCCTGTGCTGGCAGGTCCCCAGGAGCCACAGGCACAGAGAGCAGGGATGGAGCGGCCGCAGCAACCGCCTGCTGTTTGCCCCTTACGCTCTCTGACCCTTGCGGCAAGTCCCTTTGCCACCGAGAAGTGGAGGCTCAGAGAAGTTCAGATGCCTGGCAAGGCCCACCCAGCTGGTCAGAGCCAGAACTGGGACCGAAGCCAGATGGTCTTGTGCTGAAGCCGGGCCCTTTCCCTTGTACCTCTCCTTGCTGAACAGGAAGGTGCATGTCGGGGGAACTGTGGAAAGTCAGGTCTGAGACCAGCCCGGCCTGGGGAAGATGTCTGTGGCTCCCTCACCCCGCCTTGGCTCCCGTCCCAGGCGAGGGTTCCACACGGTTGAGTGCTTTTGTAAAATTCTTATTTTTCAATTACATGCTCATGGTAACAAATCCAGACAACACGTAAGTTGATCAAATGGGTGGGGAAAGTCCTTCCCCATCCCCCCACCCTCGTCGGAGACCTTGTCCTGTGCTTGTCACGTGTGGTTGAGAGAGCCGGCTCGGGGGCAGGCTGCCAGGCCTGATCTCGGGCTCCCGTGGTGACTAACGCACAGCCTTGGGAAAGTCCCTTCACTCCTCTCTGCATCAGTTTCTTATCTGAAAAACAGAATAATAGTACTTACTGCATGAGACTGTTGCAAGGATTAAATATTTAGGTAAGTGCCTTGCAAAGAATAAATATTCAAAAAATCATTAGCTTTTTAAAAATTTTATTTAATTTATTTTTAGAGAGAGGAGAAGGGAGGGAGAAAAAGAGAAACATCGATGTGTGGTTGCCTCTCGCACGCCTCCAGCTGGGGGCCTGGCCTGCACCCCAGGCATGTGCCCTGACCAGGGATTGAACCAGCAACCCTTTGGTTCACAGGCCGGCACTCAGTCCACTGAGCCACACCAGTCAGAGCCCATTTTTATTATATGGCTGGTAAAACCCAAAATGAGTATGAATGCTATACATACTGTGCTGCAACTTCCCTTTTCACTTTACAATATGCTGTAGACTTCTTTCCAAGTCTGTACATATGGCATTTTTTAAAATGTTTGTATAGAATTTTATTTGCATGAAGGTACTATAATCATTTAGATATGGACAGACATTTAAATTATGGCCATGTGCCACCTAACAACGTTTCAGTCAACAATGGACCGCATATATGATGGGGGTCCCATAAGATTATAACGCAGCTCAATTTCCTGTAAGAAATGGAAAGATGTGTGGTTCAGGAGGAACTTTTTTTTCTCTGATGGGAGCAATATCTGTGGGGCTCGGCAGTAGATTCCCTCTATGCACAACGCCTCGATTTGAGAGCACAGGTTACATTCCAGTCATTCAGCCACCGACCTGTCTCAGCACAGAGGAGCCTGTCTCCCCAGCACTACATATGCAGAGGGTGTAACACCGCCCCACCCCCCAGTCTAGCTTGATGGTCTTCAGAGTGCATTGCTACAACTTCTTTGTTGGGGACCTAAGATCCTGGACAAAGACACAGGTCCACAGGAGCCACCTTAACACGAATTAAGTGCCACTGACACTTCAGGGAAAGCTTTCTGTGGTTGTGTGAAGCCAGCCTGTGCCTGGACTTTGGAAATGTTTTCAAGGTTGTAATCATGGGAAGCATAGATGTTTTATTTCTTCCATTAATTCAATGCCAGAGAGAGTCCCTTATGCTAGATGGGGTCAGTCGGAACAAAAGCAAATTTCTGAAGTCAAAATACTGGTCCTCAGTTCTACACCCTCCATGTTAGGCATGCTTTTTTTTTTCATGGATATCACAAAGTTTCTTTTTTTTTAAACCTCACCTGAGCAATGCTTATTGATTTTAGAGAGACAGTTAGGGGGAGGGAGAAGGAGAAGGGGGGGAGAAACATCGATGTGAGAAAGAAACATCAGTTAATTGCCTCCTCTACGCATCCCGACTGGGGATTGAACCGGCAATCCAAGTATGTGCACTGACCAGGAATCAAACCTGCAGCGTTTTGGCGTACAGGACGGCGCTCCAACCAGCTGAGCCTCTGGGGCAGGGCTCGTGGCTACCACAGTGTTTTATAATCTGATCACTACTCCAACATTCAATAGCCAAAGGACATCGCCATGACAATGCCCTACGTTCCCTTAGCTCTCCATATAGATTTTTTTATTCCCGCTGATCCTCAGGCCACCTTTTATTTCCTCCTTGCGGTCACTACGATGGGGATTGGTGCTTTACCCAGTCAGTTTCTCGATATTTCCAGTCCGTTGAGCCCACATCCCTGTTCCTGGAGCAGCACTGACAGCTTCAATGTTCTATTTCTGACCCTGTTGAAGGGAAGCAGGGGGAGGGCTCGCGGGACCGTGAGCGTAAGGTCTGCAGTCGTGTGCACGGACGGTCCCAGGCCTTTGCATTCCCTCACCGCTCACCCAGGGCAACTTTCAGTCCTGCGAGCTCCGTTCACAGGAAGTGCTCAGTACATAGGTGTACCATGTTTTATGTTCTATACCATGTTATTACTGTACTTTTCTGTATTTAGATATGTTTAGATATACAAGTACTTACCATTGGTTACACCTTCTTACCGTACTCAGTACAGTAACATGCTGTGCACATTCATAGTCTAGCAGCAATAGGCTAGATCATATAGCTTAGGAGCATAGTAGGCTAAAGCACCTAGGTTTGTGTACGTACACCTCTATCATGTTCACACAATGATGAAATCACTTACCAATGCATTTCTTATTACACTGAGTTGTTGAGCAATGCATCACTGTATTTCCACTAAAAAAATAAAAAAAGCTACAAACAATGTTGTATTACATGGTCATGCCAGGAATTCTGTAAGGTATCAATTCTAGTGGTGAGATGACAGGATTTTAGGGTATATATATTTTAAATTTGATTATACACTTATACATTTTTGCCAATATACGGTGCCAATTATATTTTCACTGTCAGAGTAATGAGAAAGCCTACTTATTCAACCTTAAGCAACACTAGATTCATTTATCTTATACTTGCCAGATTAAAGAACTATCTAAATAATTTTGTACAAGGTAAAGATGTTTGTACTGTTAACCTAAAAATAAAAGGCCTTTCAAAGTGACAGGCCGTGAGCATTTATTTGAGATGGAAGAACAGCTATTCAGGCACAAACCCAAATAGTGTTCTGGTTAGGAGACAAAGGCA